TCTCTCTCTCTCTCTCTCTCTCTCTCTCTCTCTCTCTCTCTCTCTCTCTCCCCTCCCCTCCGCCCGCAGCCCGTGCCTGCCTGCTGCCGCTGTGCTGCGTCGACCGACTTCACAGACAATCATATGTCGGACATGTTGCTTCCATGACATAATTGTATAAATGCGAGTAACGCGAGTAGTAAGGAGTCAGCTTAGGGGGCCAATTTGAAAGTAATCTCGACGGTTGTTGTGATAGGTCGACCGCCGACGTTGGCTCGCTGCGGGCGTCGCCATAGCAGTGCTCTTGGCTAGGAGGAGTGTGAAGTAAGCACTTGCTCGTTCATCTCCATCCTACTCTTTTTTGTCCGCTTTGACGTGTGCATGGTGGGTTTTGTCTTATTCTTTTTTTCCCCCCTTCTCGCTTATCATCGCTGTGGGCGCCCTGTGCTCGGAGGTGATGACTTGGTACGAGTACTCTTCGAGAACAAACAGTGTCGCTTCCTGGCGATGGCTCCAGGCTCTTGGAAGGGGATGCGGGGTGTTGTCTTTCTTGCCCCGCTCGGACCCTTCAATCGCGGTGGGCGGACGAGCGTCCTATCGTATCGTGAGTGCTTTTTTTTTTCCACTTATGCTGACATATATGATGTGGGGGCTTTCCACCAATTATCCCGTTCCACCAAGTATCCCGTTGTTCCTGCTGTTGGCGTCACGGCTTTGGTCCGCTCCCTGCAACATGTCAAGCGGAAAGAGCACTTGGAAAAAAAAAGGGTTTTGGTGCTGCACTCTCTTCCATTGCACGATGTGCCGACAGAATCGCGCCCAAAAAAAGGGGTTTTATAACTTTTCCCTTTTTTTTCCTTCTTCTTTTTCCTTTTTTGAAGGCTCCATCTTTTGGTGGGGGCCACAACACCTGCTTGAAAGCAGGTCTAGCGTCCTGAACGGCCACAACACATTGTAATCGCTTGTCTGAACGGCCATGTGTTGTGGTGGGACCACAACACATTGTAATCGCTTGTCTGAACGGCCATGTGGTTGTAGTATAAGCGCAGGCATTTCATGATGACCAGCATTGATTGCCCTGGTATGAGGCGATTAACTACCCATCAAAACCCTAGCATCTTTACGCTAACTAACCCTCCCCCCAGTGATACACTCCCAGTCCTGGGTTGTTTTGTACTTAGTGCTGTTGTTGTTGCTGTAGAAAGAGAATGTTGTCCTACTACAGAAACTACTGCTAGGCACAGATGCTAGCATTAACAGCCTTCCTCGTCATAAATAATGGGCCACGGTCTGGGAAAGTGACACATCTCCTCCCTCAGGCTCCCTCGGGCAATCGTGCGCCGAGCTAGAAAGGATTACTAGGGAAGGCAACAAACATCCTGTCTTACCGTCGGACACAGTTTGTACTTGTACTGGTAGGCTGAATGTCATTCGCCTAGCAGTTTCCACACGCACAAAGGATCGGCTAGCGTGACGAGGGTGGAAGCAGGTAGGACAGGAAGGAGCTGGAAGGAACTGAGGACCACCACAATTCTCTTACCTACTAATCCTTTCTTGATGCGACACACGACTGCAAGAGCGTGAGCTGTCCAAGACGACGTCCATGTGTACGTCATGGAGGACAGCATGGCCACACACAAACACACAGAGAGAGAGAGAGAGAGAGAGAGAGAGAGAGAGAGAGAGAGAGAGAGAGAGAGAGAGAGAGAGAGAGAGAGGGAAAACGAGGAGGCTAATCGCCCGATGAAATTATGGCGATGGTGGCACCTGGAAAAACACGTCTTCGAGAACGGGCCTGGGAAACGATTCTCTATTTCTTCTGAAGTTCGATGGGAGAGTAACCTACCTTCTTCCCCCGACTACAACGTACAGTCATTATAGCTGTATCTAGACTGAAAGATGTCTCAAATGCAGCTATAATGACCGTACGTTGTATTCGTGGGAAGAAGGGTAGCATGTCACGTGCTGTGTGGAGACTGAGTCCCAAGCTGAGAGGTGTGACACGTGTAATCGGCTGTAAGGCTAGGGATTATATCATCCCATTATCCGAGCGACCGCACCACGACCAACGACCACTGATGAGGCCGGCTTGCCGACCGGTCGAAACCTGTCGGACCTCAACCCCAAGGAGGCTGTGGGTTCGAGCCCCACAACCCCTTGCGGCGCACTTGGTGTCAACCAGCAGCGGTGATAGTCGGCTCTATACCTCCGACTGGTATCAGCATGGTCCTTGGGCAACACGGGTGTGAAGAGTCAGTGTGAAAGTGAGTGGGTTGTGTGTGGTGTATGGGAGCCTGTTGGTCTTCGACACTGCTGTTATTCGGTTGGGGGCAGTACCGTACCCCGTTCACCTTTCACGGCCTTGGTGAACGCGGCCCCGCCACAAACGCGGGTAGTTCACGGAGTTCACACTGAGCAGGAACTCCTTTTTTTTTTTTTTGCCTGGTGGTGGTAGGTTTTTTTTGCACACACGTGCGCGGAGTGTAAACCGGCACCTGCCCATTTTTTTATTTTATTTTTTCGATCGGAAAATATTTTTTTTTAATTTTTGAAAAAAAAAAAAAAAAGGCTTACCCGTTTCGCCGAATTTTCGTGTGTTCGAACGTGCTACTACGGCCGTGAGATTTTCAGATCGGATGGCAACGAGCCACGTGAGATTTTCAGATCGGATGGCAAAGAGCCATGTTGAGGAGGGCTCAGGAGGCCCCCAGTCGTTTGTTTGGTGGTGCTGTAAAGCACGAACCGGAACCGGGGTGCCAGTCATTGCCATTGCTCACACACAGAGAGAGAGAGAGAGAGAGAGAGAGAGAGAGAGAGAGAGAGAGAGAGAGAGAGAGAGAGACTCTGAGCGTGCGCGCGCGAGAGAGAGAGAGAGAGACTCTGAGCCATTGTTGCGTGTGCGCGCGCGCGCGAGAGAGAGAGAGAGAGAGAGAGAGAGAGAGAGAGAGAGAGAGAGAGAGAGAGCTGTTGTTGGCGTCTCGGGGTGCGGTAGGTGCTATGCGGCGTGTTACCTACACCCCAAAAAAAAAAAAAAATCTTCCTGGCGTGCCCCTGCGAGGACCTGCACCGACCCCCCCCCACCCAGCAGCCCCCAAGTATTTTTCATATAATATATATTTTTTTAAATACAAACATACGTTTTTTTTTTTGTTTTTTTTTTTTCTGATTTGAAGGTACGGGGTCCTAGCTGGACCCCGCGCAACCCCAACCGCGCCACTCATCCAACCACCCGGGCCGCCAGGTGGCCACCAGGGCCGTGAACGGGAATCGGGCCCGGTGAACGGCCGTTCGCGTTCAGGTGACCGGACCCGTTCACGGGTCCGGCACTTGTTGTGGGTGGGCGACAATCCACTTTTATTGGCTTTCTGAAATCGGGACGCGAGGGACCTGACCTGGTACACTTGGCATAAAGCTCACACAAGGCTTCCTTCTTCACCCGAATAGAACGCCCGGTCATTATAGCTGTATTTGGTGCAACTTTCGGTCTAGATACAGCTATAATGACCGGGCGTTCTGTTTGGGTAAAGAGGGTAGCACACAACAGAAGGTAGGAATCTTCTGCTTAATATAGAAATCACATAGATCAGAGTGCATCACACAGATGTCATGGACATTGGACAGCCATCATGGCTCAGCATAAACACAAACAAATCTTTCTATTAGTTTCTAATCGTACTATATTTGTCACAGAGACTGCAAATGGATGCTGCGGCCCAAAAATAGATGGCCACTTCAAACAGGGGTT